TGCAAATGAGGAGCTGCCCTTCAGAGATTAAACCACTTGCTGTGGTTGTTTAATTCATATCCGAGCTGGATTTGAACCTGCTGTCTAGTGACTACACTCATGCTCCCACCGGGCAGAGCTGGGCTGAGAACACTGCCCTCTGGTGGCCGAACAAAGTCTTACACAGATGGCACTGCCCGGCTAGAGATACCTCTGTGCGGGATCCCATCCTGTTCCTGGAGTCCTGTAATCTGCGGGGCTTGGGCTTGGCATAGGGGAGTTCAGAAGCCCTGATGAACAGGCCCTAAGAAAGTCAGGTTTAGTGGCTCATGCCTATAACCCCAGCACTCAGAGGGGGCTGGGGCACGAGGACGGCTGTGGATTTCAAGTCAACCTGGGCCGCAGGGTGTGGCTCTGTCTCAAAATAAAATCAATGAATCCATTTAAAAAAAGACTTCCTAAGACACTGGAGAAAAAGATAATCAGAGGCCACAACTGTAGCTCCCATGCTGAGAACGAAAGTGAGTCCAAAAGGTGATTTATTGCCGGCTCATGTTTTAGGAGAGTCAGTTTCTGGGACACCCGGCCCATTTCCTCCCGGCAGAGCCCCACACCCTGGGAGCAGGCATTTGCTGGATGCTTAGCTCTAATCTCTCATTCTGCACTGGGAGTCTGGCCTGCCAACTCCCCAGCAGGCTCTGTGCCATGGAGTGCTGAGCAGAGAAGAAAGGTCGGTCCCGGGAGGGGAGGAAAGGCCCACTTTCTTCCTGTTCGCTCTCTGGTCGGGCTGTCTGCCTGGGCCGCCATAGGCCCTCTTTCCCACCCTGGCCACGATGGCTTCTACTTCAGGAACTGTTATTTATTCTAAACCTGCGGAGTGACCACCGCGAAAGAGGGCAGGTATTAATAATTCCGACCTCTTCCCATGTCTCTCCAACCCTCAGGGCTGGTGATCTTTCCTCTGGCAACTAGAACCATGATATTTACTACAGTTTGCCCTTCAGTTCCTCAGTGTTTGCTTAACAATTTATGTTAAATTCTCTGCATTACAATAACGGCTGTGGCTTCTGTCTCCCAGCTGATATACAATTAATTCTGTTATGGGTTTAAATTAGAGCATGTTAGAAAGCTTTTTGGTATAAGCTAAGGTCCAATGCCATGTTTAGACTGGGAACGTCTCGCTTGTCCTTATACACACATCAGGCTGATAGCTTTGAAAAGGTCAAACTGACTTTGCCTCCACCTGGTTTAAACCACACAGTGGTGGGTTCCCCTTTGGATGATAAAGGCCAAGCCCCCAGCACTAGGTCCCCGTTATGGTCTCCTTACCTCCTACACCCATCCTCCCAACCAGGCCTTTTTGGACTCACCACTCAGTTTCCCATGCCCTATGCTTCTGCTCAGCCTTCTGTTTAATATTTATCCTTCAAAGTCCATCTCAGATGTCTGCTTAATATTCATCCTTCAAAGTCCATCTCAGATGTCGCCCCTTCTAAGAAACCTTGTCTGTTCCCACTCCCCCTCTAACAGTTAAACATTCCCAATTCTACCCTCTGTGTACCCAGGGATAAGTACCTTCCCTACCAGACTACGAGCTCCTTGAGGCCAAGCTAGGCATCCCAGTTCATCACTGTTTTCTCTCGGCACTCTAGTAGTCCTTCACAATCAATGGCTTATAATGACTTGTAATTTTCCCATTGTCTGTTTTCTGCTTATACAATTGAGACAAAGAGCTCGGAGCGGAGGGTGGGGGACCCTCAATGTTTAGGAAACTTGGAAACTCACTTTCTCTCCACCTCTGTTTGGAAGAAACACTTCTCCAAACACAAGGCTGTTTATATGTCTTTGCATTCAATTACATCCCTAGGAAGTGAAGACATTCTAATTGCCTGAGTCCGGTGCCAAGGAGGGCTGAGATCACCCTGACCACAAATCTGCAGATAACAGAGTAACAGTACTGCAGATAACAGTAAACAGGGCCTCTTAGAACTTTGGGAAAAGAAAAGGGGTTCCCCCTAGCCAGGGCAGACACTACAGTACTGAATCATTTGCTCTTTAAAAATCAATTCTTTTTTTTTTTTTTTTTTTTTTTTTTTTTTTACTTTTAAGAGATGGGAGTCTTGCTATGTTTCCCAGGCTGGCTTCAAACCCTTGGATTTAAGGCCTCACTTTGCCACGGTTCTCAAGTAGTTGGGCCTTCAAGTGCAGGCCACTGTGCCCATCTGTGACCATCAAAGTCAAATAAGAGCCCTGATCTTGCAGGAAGGTAAATGATCTATGGATCAGAATCTACAACTCAACTCCTTCTTGTCACCGGCTATAGGGATAGAGACTCAATGTTCCCAACTGACTGTACCACCAGGGTGGTGGGAGGGTTTTCTGTCCCACATCTCCAGAGTCATGTCCCCACCGCTGGCCAGCCACACCGGTGACTCATCATTTGATGCCTTCTCAAAGACCAAAGCTGCCCAAGGAACTCCTACGGCTACAGTAACTTGTGGGAACCTGGAGGCCAACAGCAGGAGGGGAGTCCAACACGGGTCAAGGCCGCTGTGTGGTCAGCATTGCGGAAGTGTGGCCAGAAAGCACAAAGGGCAGGAGGAGAAGAGGAGGAGGGACAGAGGAGGGGAGGAGCAGGGGAGGAGAGAGGGGACGAGGAGGAAGCAGTGGCTCAGCAGCTCCATGGCCTTCGGGGGCCCGTAAGCCACCTCTTGTTCTACGAGGCAGACTGTGGCAGGCAATCTGCACCGAGGGGAGATGAGTCCGTTCTGTCAGAAGTAGCTGTGGCCTCTCTCAGACAGTGGTGTGTTGTACACACACAGATGTAGCTTGACACTGGAGGTCACGTCACAGGGACTCTCCTGGATCTCACGGCAAATAAATGATCACCTGACTCAATCCCAGGAGTGCTGCCATCTGCGGGTTTCTGGAACTTGGTGGAAACCTGGTCAGTTGTGAAAATCAACTGGATCTTCCTTTGGTTTGTTATTAAACATAGCATGAAGAAGGAAGTGAGTTAACAAAACAAAAGGATACATTTCTTAATCCAAAAATGATAGCAGCAGGTAAAATCTTTAACATGTCCTCCTTATGACGTGGAGATCATTTCATATGAAATATTTCGAAAAACTTCACATGACATTTAGCTGGTGGGCTGGAGTCCTCCCTCATCTTTCCAGGGCCATTTTCCACTCTCTTTACCCAGCACTGCCCCAGGAGATAAAACCTACAGACCGTCGGTGGGCACTGGGGTTCCCAGCTACCTACTGGGTTTTGTTCATGTGGATATGATGGAGAAAGCCCTCCGGGGCGCTGTCTACAGCTTCTGCATGGTCATGTCCAAAGCCATCCCATAACTAACCAGAATCTCAGCTTTCCGACTTGTTTCATGATGATTGTCCTTGACTTAAGTTCACCTCTCTCCATCGAAAGGGCCCAGGGTGTGGCCAGTTTTGCTGTTCCTAGTGCCGGGTTACTGCATGGTATATCCACGTGACTTTGTTACACCAACCCATGCTTAGCTCTGTCAATCCTCTCCCAATAAATAGACACCTACTAGATGATCTTATTTTCAGTAAGGCCATCCCTATCCAGTCAGTCTGTAACTAGGTGATGCTATATTGCTCCAAATTGAGGGGTAGAAATGTTCTACTCTTTTTTTGGAAGTCAGCTTTCCAGAAAATTTGGTAACACACAGAGTGCTAGCAAAAATCATGAATGCTCCAGCCGCATACCGGAGCCTCTCATGGATGGGATGTTATCCCTTAAGTTGCTATGTTACAGAAGGTCTAGAGAATCTAGCACAGCAGGTAGGCCAGGCAGAACTAGTAGCATTGGGAGGTGGGTATCAGAATCCTAACTAGTTACCTGCCATAGGGAAGGGTTGGAATTTTCACATTTGATGCACCTCAGCTGGTATTAGTCTAAGCCATGTATCTATTTGCACCTTTGGGTTACCAGAAAGTTCATTTCTATGGTTACCTAACGTACTCAGAAAGCAGAAATGCAAGCAAAACATTAGCAGAGAACAGATGTTGCCTTGTGCACATGATGAATGAGCAACAACCTTTGCATTTCTTCATCTCTCCCAAATGAACCAAAAGAGAACCCGTGGTAAGCCTCTGACAGAATGGGGAGGTTATTGACAAGCCCGGCAAATGAACCAAGTTTTGAAGGCTGCCCAGTGCCACCAGGCGATTTTTGGAACTGTGACATTTGCATCGAAGATTGTGTCTGTGCTAAGCATTTCTGCATCTCTTATGACAGTCCTTTCTAATCCTGGACTTTGCATTTGGAACTTATTTGTTTGAGCATACAAAATAAAGCACTGTTTTATCCTTAGCCACACACAAGAAGTTTCTTAATTCTTTTGGAGCTGATCTTGGATAACATAATTGGCTATTTTCTTTTCTGAAATGTAATTATATCACATATTCTCATATTTCCTTCTGCTGCTTCTATGGTGACACCATTTACATATCTCGAGTGACGAGTCATGAAAAGGGGCCATATGTTTATTACATATACTATCTGGATTTCTAATCCTATTAACTTAAGACATGGGCAATTAAATAAATTCTTATTCACTAAGTCAGAAATTTTAAATAACTATTTTGTTAATGAAGCATCAGATGTAAGCAATGGAATACCTAATGATTTCTCCAGACTTTGAAAAGGGATCTTTAGGGATAGGATAATGGATGGGCGCAAACAAAAGCCCATCCCACAGCTGCCAGGTCAAAGGCAGCAGGGCAGCAGCCAGGATTAGGAAGCAAAGACAGAATGGAGCATCTGTGTGAAAACCAGCTAAGGGACGGTAGACACAGTAAGCTACAGAAAAACTATTCTGATTATCACAAAGCTACAATGTGCATGTAAGCCATGCATTTAACATGAATGTCAATGTCAGCCAATACCTACAATGTGATTCATACATTCCTCTTCTGTCCAGTCTTTTACCACCAAGGCTGATTAAAAAGGATATTCTGTCTTGATATAAAGGTAAGTTCTTCTAAGTTGATTTGATGAGTTTGTTTCCTTAATCTAACACACCAAGTAGTGGAATCAAACACTTTTCTCTATTAACAAAAAATATGATGCCATTAGCCTTTAATTAAACCACCATCTCTAGAAATAGGAAGGTTAAAAAAAATTCAAAGAATTAATTGGGCCAACCATTCTTCCCTGAAGACACTAGCCAGGCATTCAATAATTACTTGAAATAACATTAATAAAACTAAATTATCAAGGTCCATCTAATACTTACTAATCTTAGAAAATATTTCCAGAAAATATTGATATTTGTTCTACTTAAGTGAGCAAACAAATTGTTTCTACATTTGCTGTGTCAAAATTCTTTTAGAACTGTGGCTATCCTAAGATTACCTTAGTTTCCCCTGCCCATATGTTCCAAAATGCCCATGGAAGGTCCCAAGACAGGGAAATAAGAGAGCTAGTTGTGCTGGGAATGAAATTCATGTTTACTCAATTTCTAAGAGGGAAGACTCAAACTACAGTCAAAGTTGATGTGAAATGGGCAAGCAAAGAAACCCTCTGTCCACCTACAGAGACCGCTAACGGGGCCCAACAATTCACCACTGCCTTCCAGTGAGTCCCCACAATTCACCACTGCCTTCCAGTGAGTTCCCACAATTCACCACTGCCTTCCAGTGAGTCCCCACAATTCACCACTGCCTTCCAGTGAGTCCCCACAATTCACCACTGCCTTCCAGTGAGTCCCCACAATTCACCACTGCCTTCCAGTGAGTTCCCATTTACTACTAAGGAGCAAAAGCTGTACATTCTCCTCTAAATGTGCTGCCCCAGCAAATCTCTGCCCAGAAGATGCCAACCTGGCTTCAGGAGCTGTATTGGCTCAAGGACCAGACACGGCAGTTCTAGGGCTGCCTTTTTAAAATGGCCTCAGGGGACTTTTAGTCAGAGGCAGACAACAAGCAATTCAATATAAAGGCATCAGACCAATTTGTTTTCCAAGTTAAAAAAGAAATCCTGCTGATATTACAGTCTCCAAAAATCCTGAGACGGGGCCATCTGGAGTCTCAGTGTGGCCTGCTTCTAATTACAGCAGGAGATGAGGGGCAGCGAGGTCAAAGGGACCTTCAGGGTCTGTGAGAGCTGTGTCCTTCCTGGTCTTGACCCTCCCTTCAGGGAGCCTTTCGGGAGGGCGTCTCTCACTGTTTGGTGCAAACTGACATTTGCTGGCGTGTATTAGGTCTCACAGTCTTGTAACAGCCTCTGGAAGCCACTTCAGCTGTTAAGGGGAAACTTAAAAAAAAAAAAAAAAGAAGGCTTTATGTGGAATTGATGTCCATTGTTTTCCTTATCTCTTCAATCCAAATGAACACATGCATATTGACTGTCTCCATCTGATTATACATAAGTGATTCAAGCCAGACCAAATGGTAGACACGCACACACACACACACACAATTAAACTTCATGCACAAGGGTGAGTGCTATGCCTACAAACTCCTCTGAAACTCACTTTCGGGTTGGCAATGTAGCTTAGCAGGAGAGTTGCCTATCACCCATTATTAGGCCGGGGGTTCAACTCCCAGTACCATGAAAAAAGGTTCCAAGGGCTAGGGAGATGGCTTAGTGGGTAAAGGATCAGGACCCACATTTGAATTGCTAGCACCCAGGTAAAATCTGGGCTTGGAGATGGGTACCTACAGGCCCAGCACTGTGGCGAGGGAGAAGACAGGTTGATTCTGGGACTTGCTGAAACAGCAGACTCCAGGTTTAGTGAGAGACCCTGCCTCAAAAAAATAGTGTAGAGAATAATAAAGGAAGACATCAGACAACTGGCCTTCACATGTGCATGTGTGGGTGTGTACATCTATACAAACATGTGTACACACATACAGACACACACACGTCATCCAAACTTCTATTTAAAATTATTTTTTCTCTTTTCCATGGAAATATAAATTTTTGTCATAAAAATTAAAGGAAACATAACAGATGACTCCTGCTGAGCAGAGCTGTGCTGGTTGAAGTGACAGGGAGTTCAGAACCTCCCTTCTGGTCTTCCTCTACTCCCTTTAGAGGGCCTACAAACATTCCCATGGGGCCCCAAGGCTCTGCACAACACTGTAAAACAAACGCTGTAGGACTTCAGTAGGAAAAGATCTGCTGATCTGATGTGGAGCATTGGGGACGGGGTTAAACGGCAGGTAGCGGTGCCCATCCCTGGGCTGAGGGCACTTATGTCAGAGCTCCAAGATGCACAGGGTTAGGAAGCTGGACAACCACTCAGACGGTGCTATGGACAGAGCTGGGGTGGACAGGAAGAAGAAGAACGTGAATGTTAAGCCAAGGAATTTGTACTTTTTCGAAAGGCAGCGTTGGTTACTGGAAGCTTGGAGAGTGATAATAAGGTTTGTGATGTGAAAGGTGCGCGCAGTGGTGATACTGAGTTTATGCTGCAGAATGGAACACAAATCGCAGGACTCGGTGATCACAAAAGGAGAGATGATGAGAGCTTTCCGGGAAGCGTTTGGTGGGGGAGGGGACTTTAAGAGATGTAGTGGGTAGCCATTCCAGCTTGGATCTGGAAGTTCCAACCCCCACTGAGACTCTGGCAACTGTCATGCCTACAAGGCAGGGCTAGGGGCCAGCTAGCTCAGTCGGTAGAGCATGAGACTCTTAATCTCAGGGTCGTGGGTTCGTGCCCCACATTGGGTGCCAGATATTGGTGAAATTATTAAGGCCACTCCATGTAGTTAAAAGGATATTTATTTAATGGTGTAACTTACAAATGAAGGGATAGGTAGGTCGCGGGGTCTGGGGAAGGTGTATCGCAGTCCAGGGGTGTTCTCTGGAGCTCTGCTCGTTCCACCTCCACCATTCAGGGTCCCGGAACAGAGAGAGCGCTGGCCCATCCAGATCTCGGGTCTCCAGGCGCCCCCCCTGGCCCTGCCTCATAGGCTTGACAGTTGCCAGAGTCTCAATGGGGGTTGGAACTTCCAGATCAAAGCTGGAATGGCTACCCACTACAAAGAGTCATTAGTTTTGTTAGTGAACCAGTGAGAGACTGAGCCTATTGTCCAGGCTCTTGACTTTTCAGTGGTGGTCCTGAGGGTGTTTTGTCCACAGCTTCTGGGTACCACGCTGAGGCAGTGTGAACCTCCACCTTCAGTATCTTCCACGTTTTCTAGAGTTCCACTTGTGGCTGAGGCGTATGCCCTTGGTGGGCAAATTCTGCAGTGTGGATTTAGGAATTACTCCTGGAAACTGCTTACAGCATGCCTAGTAGTCTACCCTTCCAAAAATTTTATGAGCACCTAATCCTCCCCACTGACGGGCTTTTCTTAAAGCTAGCCAGCAGCTGCAGCCGGGTGCTGTTAGCTGCAGCTAATCCCTAAGTGAGGCAAAGGGACAGCAGTGCTGGACGTGGTCAGGGAAGGCCTCCAGGGAAAGGTAACACTTGGTGGCTCTTGAAGGATGTATACAGTTCAGACAAGCGGAGAAGCAGGAGATGGCGTCCAGTCAAAATCCAGGAAGGTGAAGAAGAGAGCGAGGTGCTCAGAGAACTGTATGGGGTTTACAAAGACGACCAGCAGAAGGGCAGGCAGGTGTGCATTCCTCGGAGCCTGTGTCAGCCAAGCACGCCGAGTTTTATTCATGGAATTTACTGGAACTTGGACGCCAGGAAGTTATATAAGCATATTTGCATGCTTAAAGGACATGCTTGCAGAGCTGTGAAGGAGGTTAGCAGAGCTGGAGCTGCACCACATCTGAAGGACACTGAGCCGACCCTGAAACACTGAATAACGGGGCCTGGAGAGGTGGCTCGGTGGCTAAGAGCACTTGCTGCTCTTGCAGAGGACCCAGGTTCGGTTCCCAACACCCACAGAGGACCTGGGTTCAACTCCCAGCACCCACAAGGTGGATCACAGCCACCCCCCAGTTCCAGAGGATCCAACAGGCACAAATGCAATTACCCATAAACGTATGCAGGCAAAATATTGACACACACAAAATAAAACAGGCAAGTCTTAAACAATTCTAAAATAAAATACTGAGTAAAGTGAGACCAGCTAAGGGGAAGTAGGAGTGGAAGTGGTGGGGTAGGCTTTGGAGTGGCAAAGAAGCCAGGTGCCAGGGTGGCACCACCTATAAACACGTCTCTTAGTGTGGCTGTGTGGCTCTGCGGTGAAGCTGTCAGCTTCGGGACAGGCTGTCATTTACTCTAGCAAGAGCACTCACCTTGCAAAGAATCATCGAATGCTTGAGAATGCTTATTTGTTTGTTTGTTTTCCTTCTGGGGCCACAAGCAGACTCTTTCTAGTTTCCCTTGCAGGTAGAAGTGACCACATGGCTCAGTTCCAGACACTGGAAGGTGGATGAGAATTGCATCACTTCCAGGGCCGAGCCATAAACGCCACACTGGCCTCTGCTGTCTCAATTATCCTGACCACTGGCTCGGTAGGAATACCTAGAGCAACATTAGAGACCAGCAGATGCCCCGTCAGGATACAGAGTGGAAACTACACCCACCCTCAGTCCCAATATTGCGCCAATGGGATTTTAAACGATTAAAATGTTTAAATATGAATATTAGCAATGTTGCAGCATTGGCTTTATCTTAACGAGTGTCCTTAACTTCTCTAAACTCCAGCTGCCTCTCCAGACTATTCTAGTGTCTACCTTCATGGTGCTGTTAGAAAACAACTAAAAGAGAATCTGTGAATGAGTCAGTGTAATAGAGTGAGCCCAGGTGTGTCCATGCACGGTACCTGAAAGCAGGAAGTGTTCGATAAATGTTCACTATCTATTGTCCTATGAAACCTGCTAGTTACTGTTACCCAGGATGTGTACTATAAGGCACACTAAATACTCCTTCCTTGTAGCCTGAAATGCCATCAGCCCTTTTTGTAAAGCAGTGCCATCTCCTTGCAAGAGTTATTTGTTACATTCAGTTATCAAACTGACACATTTGTATGCTAACTGGGAAAACATGTGAAATATAAAATGTGTCAGTGAGATGACTCAGAGGATAAAGGCGGTTGATGCTAAAGCTGACGACCTGCATTTGATCCTCAGCACCCACACATCACAGGGAAGAGCTGACTCCCCCTACAAGTTATTCTCGGACTTCCATATGTGTGCCCTGACAAACGCACACACATACATCAAATCTTCTTGACTGATGATTGACGTGGAGGGCCCTGCCCGTTGTGAGTGGTTGTTCCCCTGGGCTGGTGGTCCTGGATGCACAAGGCAGGCTCAGCAAGTGAAGAAACGAGTCAGCACTCCTCCGTGGCCTCCGCTTCAGTTCCTGCCGCCAGGTTCCTGCTTGAGTTCCTGCTCTGGCTTCCTTGGATGAGGACTGTGCTATGAAGTGTAAGGGAAATAATCCTCTTTCTCCCCAAGTTGCTTTTTTTTTTTTTTTTGGATTTTTGAGACAGGGTTTCTCTGTGTAGCTTTGGAGCCTTTCTTGGAACTCGCTCTGTAGACCAGGCTGGCCTCGAACTCACAGAGATCCACCTGGCTCTGCCTCGCAAGTGCTGGGATTAAAGGTGTGCACCACCATGGCCCGGCTTCCAAGTTGCTCTTTAATGTGATGTCCTATCCCAGCACTAGAAAGTTAGATAATCTAAGAGGTAAGCGTTGCTAATATTTTGGCACATGTGCCTCCAATTTCTCAGCTGGATAAATGTACACATTTATACAGGGGTACACATTTATAATCAAAACAGGTACAATAATAAACACAGAGCTGTTTTTTCTTCCTAAATTTTTACCTTAACAGATTGTTATTCATTCAAATATGTATTTGAATTGAGAAAAAGATGCTTGATGTGTACTTGTGCGTGAAAACTTATTTAGCATGCATGTGTGTGTATGTATGTATATATATATATATATATATATATATCAGTTATCTAAGAATTCCTTTATTACAGGATATTTTTGTTGCTTCTACTAGAAAACATAATTCTGGAACAAAGCCCCAAGGACGTAAATATTTGACTTTAATGATCTGCTCTTTCTGCTTCCATTCTCCTTTATCTAAACTTCTCCAAAATAGAATTTTTAAAAAATAATTTTTTACCTTCCCAGATGATACAATAACCAATACTTACTTTATCTTGATTGATGTTTTACAGGATTCTTTATAGCATTTTCTTGTCTTTTAAAAACAAAACAAAAAAAAATGCCCCCTTTGTCTATAGACTTCCTCTCTCAGGCTTTCCCATTAATTCATTCTTCAAGCTGTTTTATCTGCAGAATGAAAAATAGAGGTTGCATCTGAGTCCTAGAAGCCCGAGTACTGTGGTTCTGAGCTGAGAAGGCGGTGGCAGAAATGGATGTGAAGTCAGAAATAAAATCTCTCCTTCAAACTTCCCATCAGGGGAAGTCTCTCCTGGATGTCCCAAGCACCCAGGAGAAGAACCACCACACCTCATGCTTTCAGTTGTAGAACAGTGTGAAGGAGAAACTTTGTCTTTCCTGAGGCCATAGACCGCATCAGCAAGCGTAAACAATGGTCTCAATGGAACAGGAGGCTCTCATTGGTCCCCCTGCTTACTGAGAGGTCTGGGCCTGTACACAAGCTAACAATACTTTTGTCTCGGGCAGCTAATCAGTGTTCTTCATTCAAAATATGGAAATGTGAGGGCCTCTACCACACGTATCTTATTAATACACAGGCAGGAAATGCATAGGAATGCAGTTCCCAGACTTCTTGGAAGGTTTTGCTGAATTACGACTTAGTATTCATTCCCGTACCAGAGTGGACCACTCAGCCTGGGATGCACGCAGACCAGTGCTGTGGAGTTCATGTCTGAGGCCCACGCTCTCTCAGCGCATGCGCACTGACCTCTGAGTTCTCACTTGTCCTGGGGAAACCGTCTCATCGCAGATAGTTCTTGGGATGAGCATGTGGCTCCACCTTCCCCTCAGGCTTCTAGTGACGGGAAAAAACAGACACATGTATCTAACAGTCCTTACACAGAGCATAGCCGCCTTTTGTACCACCTTTCCGAATAGAATGGGTGACACTGTGATGTGCAGTCAAGGCCCAGCAGGCAACAGACGGCACTCACCACGATAATTTATAGAGGGCACAATGAAGGGGCCGTTTACACAGGTGTGGGCAGGGTTCAGGGAAAGCAAGCCCGGGTGGTACCCCAAAGACAGCCACAGCGGGACTGTGACCAAGCGTAGGCTTGAAGGAGATGTAGGAGATCCCGACAGGAAAGAAGCCCGTGCAGATGGCTGACTGGACTCCCGCTGAGCGATGGACACACCCAGCCCTGGGCCACCTTGAAGAATGAACACCGTGACTCCGCCCCCATCTGCTGGGAGCTGCATTTGTCAAGGCAGAAACTGCAGAGTAGCAGAGCTTGGGCCGCCCACTCCCCAGGCAGAGAGGGGACAGAGAGAAGCAGAGTGGGGCAGCGGAGGCACACACCCAGGCCACCGGATGTGTCAGATCGAGAGGCTTGGGACACACTGAGGAGGCAGCTGGATCTCCCTGAGCCGGAGAAATGACCCAGGGGCTCAGCAGGCTCGTCAAAGCCATGCATCTGTAGACCATCCGAAAGGGGAGAAGGGAGAGGTGGAGGCCATGGACAGCTGAGGGCCAGACAGAAGGGCAGCAAGAGCAAGGGTCGGAAACGAGGGAGATGCCACACCACAGGCGCCCCCAGCTGTCCCCTGCAGGAGGGAGCAGTCTGTGGACCAAAGCAGGATGCAGAGAGTGTTGGCAGGAACCGGAGCTGTGGACTGCCTGTGAACAACTCTTTGGAGCTCTTGCTGCAGAGAAGAAAAGGAATGGAAACAGGCGGAGATGGGCAGTGGGGAGTTTGGTGATCCTTTTTTTTAAAGAAGGGAGGAATACCTATGTGCTTTGTGCTTGCTCCCAGGAACAGTCCAGAGAAAAGAGGCCACAGGACTGTGACAGCCGGAAGTGCCTAATTCCCCAAGTGAGGGGGCGGAGTGGCCGCCAGTCAGCCTCTGCAGAGTGTAGCCACCAACCCATGCTTTCTCAGGGAGCTCAAACCCGACCTTTTTCTTTACATGAAAATATGAAGCCTCCTGATACCGAAATGCCGCCAGTTAACTAAGTCTCGTTACCTCTGTGGAGGCCAGGGGACGAAACTCCTCTGCAGGCTGCCCCTTAGCACCCGGCAGGCTTTGCTCCCCCACCCTGACTTATCAGGTGCGGCCCCTGTTCCGGGGACCTCCGGAAGACACTGGTGGTTTAAATCTCTACAGTCTCGGAACCATCCGTGCCCAGTGGTGGTGCCTGGCCAGGGCAGCTAATGACACAGTCTTTGTCCCTTTCATAAAAGGCAGCGGAACTGAGGCTGCCAGAGCCCTCCGTACATCCTATACTTAAGTCCTCCGAGCTAATACTTAGGCTTCCCATGTGCCTCTTACCTCCTCCCCCTCCTCCTCACTAAGGAAACTGCCTATTATCTGCAGGCCAATGCAAATAAAGGTCACCAAGAGACACTCGCAGGCCAAACACCAAATGCTGGCGCGCAGGAGAAGGGCCTATTGTTTCAATGTCCCAGCTAATAAAGGAAATGCCAATCAAAGGAGGCCTCTGGCCTGGTCCACACTCAAAAGAAAGCGTAAACTGTCAGCAAGAGCTCTAAACAGGACAGCGTTGGCATCTCCAAAGATGGCCAGCACCTGCTCAGGACCCGGCAGGGCCTGTGGCTTCACAGTCCTTCACAGACACGAAGGGCCTGCCAGGCTGGGAGCAGAGAGTGTTGACTTCGATTTCAGGGCTGCCTTCCTCCAGAGGCAAGAGTGAGGAGCCATCTTGGAGCAAGTCTACATTTGCATACTCATGAGAGGTCTTTTCCTGCACAAAGGGGTAAGTCCTGGCCCTCTCATTTTCCCAATGGAATACATGCATTAGGAACACTTCCTGGGGCCAGAGAGAAGGATCGGAGGCTAAGAGCTCAACTGAGTTTGGTTCCCACACCCACGCCAGGTCGGGAACAACTGCCTGTAGCAACTGCCTCAGGGCATCTGCCACGTCCTGGTTTCTGTGAGCACCTGCACTGCTGTGCACACACTCCCACACGGGCACACATGCCCACAAACAAAAACAGACCTTAAAAGAGAAAATCGCTCCTTAGCTACAGTGCTGGCTTGACCAGGTGCCACCTGCCTCTGCCTGAAAGTGATTACCACCCCCAAACTACATGTCAAATGACTTCCTCCTGTTGAAAAGGAATGACCAACGCCTGGGCGTGGGGAGACAGCGCTCACACCCAGAACATGTCACCGTCACTCATCTTTGGGTTCAGATCTCTGGAGAAGAGCATATTCCAACTATCAACTTATACCCTAGGCTCTAAAGTAGGTCTATTTTAAAGAACTATAGGAAGAATAGGTATGTTCTTCCATTTTGATACAACCTGCCTGGGAGAATGGGGGAGATGGGGGAGGTGTTGAACAGGCCAAAGACAGACAAGATGGGCAGCTGGAGGTATAGCTCAGTGGTAGAACTCAAACTTAGCACCCATGAGACCCTGGGTTTACTCCCGAGCACAAAACCAAACCAACCAACCAAAAAGCCCCAGCTGAAGCTCGGCATGCAGGTGCCCGCCTATGAAGAAAGGTTTCTACCATACAGGTTAAAACATTTCCGTTCTTCAAGAGAGAAGGAAATTGGGATCTTCAGGGACAGGTCTCGAGAAGTCCCCACTGGAGACAGAGTAGGAGGGCAGCAGTGGAGGTGAGCATAGGTTTTCAATGTGACATTTCAACAAAAACATTTCAAGGAAACCCCCCCCCCCCCAAATATGAGTGGTTGGACTCAAGCTACCAATATTATAAGAGCGATGTAGAGGCTTCATCAGTGCATGAGGAGCGAGAGGAGAAAGCAGGGGGCCCTGAGAAAGTCCAATAGCAGGTCCACAGCTACTCAGTGGGAAGCATGGCAGGCCAGTCTGAGAACAGTTGAAAACAGGAGCCCTGGCCTTCACTGCTTGCAGGAGGGAGCACAAGGTACCAGGATGAACAAGCACAAGGATGAACAGCTCCCTGTGGGCTCCCCAAGCCAATTCACCAAGACTCCTTCTTAGGACAAGACCCACACTGGTAAAAGCTGCTGACAGTATAATGAACATGGATCAGAACCAGATGGAGACGAAGGAAATAACGTCGAGAAGAAAGCTGGCTGGAAATCAGGACCCAAACACACAGAGAGCCAGCTGTCGGAAGGTTTCTCTGGTCCGGCCTGGCCCCGAAGTCCCACGGCCGCTTATAAAATAACCATTCAGAGGCTTACAGTAATTGCCAATTGTACGGCCTATGGCAGGCTTCTTGCCAGTAGCTCTTATAACGTAACCCATTTCTATTAATCTGTAAGTTGCCACATGGCTGTGGCATTACCGGTCTGCTGGCATCTTGTTTCTTTGGCGGGGTTGGTGTTTCTCTCACTCCGCTTTTCTCTTTCCTGTCTGACTCCTTGGAATTCCCGCCTGCCCCTAAGCTGCCTTGCCATAGGCCATAGCAGCTTATTTATTAACCAATGGGAACAACATATATTCACAGCGTACAGAAAGACATCCCCCAGCGGCCGAGCACATCTGAATACTACTCAGGTGTCTTAGTTAGCCTTTACTGTTGCTGTGAAGAGACACCATGACCACAGCAACTCTTACAAAGAAAACATTTCATTGAGGGTGGCTCGCTTACAGTTTCGGAGGTTCAGTCCATGATCATCATGGTGGGGAGCGTGGCAGCATGCAGACAGACGGGGTGCTAGAGCTGAGAGGGCTACATCTCGCAGGCAACAGGAAGTCGACTGACTGTCACACTAAGGGAAGCATGAGAAAAAGAGACCTCAAAGCCGGCCCCCACAGTGACACACTTCCTCCAATCAGGTCACACTTCCTAATAGTGCACTCTCTTTGGGAGACATTTTCCTTCACACCACCACATCAAGCTACAGTGGAGGGAGCTTGGGAGAGTGGGAAACTTTCCCCAGCGAGGCAGAGCGTCCCTGCACAGAAGCAGCTAGAAGACGTGTTGTCTCACTCAAAGAACCCAGCCTTGGTAAAGAAACATCAGATTCCAGGTGGAGGGCAGCGAGGCTATAAGGTAAGCCTAGAACATCTCATCAACCAAAATGGGGAAGCCTCACTGATCACGTGACCAGTCATATGGGAGGGACTTGGGAGCACTGTGAAGGGGCTTCTGAGGGTCACAGATGTTGCAGTTTTAAGCTACAGAACATTGAAATCTGTTAAATGAGTTTATATCCATGAGGGTTTTTTTTTTAAATAAGGTTTTTGGTTTTTTTTATGTGTACAAGTGTTTTGCTACATGTATGCCTACACCTGAAGAGGCCAGAAGTAGATATTGGATCCCCTGGAACTGGAGTTATAGGTGTTTGTGAGCCTCAATGTAGTTGCTGAGAACTGAACCCCTATCCTCTACAAGGGCAACACGTGCTCTTAACTACTGAGCCATCTCTCCAGCCTCCACCCCTGAGTTCTTAAGTGATCTTCTAAAAAGCAATGAGTAACCTTTGAAATACGATGAGGAACTAATTCCTTACCTTGAGATTTAGTAAATAAAGGGAAACATGAGCACTTGCCCTTTCCCTACAGGAGCTACGCCATCGATTAGTCAATACAAATGAAATATCGTGTGTGTGTGTGTGTGTGTGTGTGTGTGTGTGTGTGTGTGTGTGTCTGTGCGTCTGTGCATGCACACAAAAACACAAAGTGCACCCTGGCACATGTGTAGAGGTCAGCTTATTAGACAACACCATGAAAATACAATCGTGATTATGGCAAAGCCAGGATATGGTTCCTTGTATTAGGACAGAGGGATCTATGATGGAATAGGGCATATGGGAGGGGCTGAGTGACAAAGTTCTGGTCTATGATTGGGCCACATTTTCATGAACGTTTAATTTAGAATAACTCAGTCAGTCATATGATCGTTGTGTGGCTTTTCTCTGTACCCATGCTTTACTTTTAATAATCATTTTCATCATAGTCTCCCCAAAGCTTAACAGCTGGACCAGACAG